TCCAGCCTGGCCAGCCCCGCAAAAGACTGCGCATGTGCGGAGTACACCTTCGAGGCTGCGGGACTCTCGCGATAACTGTATTGAGATAAAGTGTGGGAACTCGAGCCCGGCTGGTGATTCATGCTGGGGAGAGCCTCCACCTGCGGCTGCTGTGTCCCGATCTCCCCTGGGAAAAGGGGAGCCCGTGGGGGTAACACCTGAGCGGGGGTCCTATTTGCTTTGGGAGGAAAGAAGAGTAGATTCAAAGAGAGCCCTGTTTAGGGGGTACGAAAAGGAAAATGGGGTCAGGTGTGGTGGCACACGGCTGTCATCCCAGCAGTTAGGCTGAGGCAGGAGGATCGCGAATTCAAAGCCAACCTGGATGGCACAGTAAGACTCACCAAAAGAAAAAAACGTGTGTGTGGATGATGACATCAGAACCATCCTTCCCATCTCCCGGCTGAACCGCTGCTCCTTCCGAGCACGGCCCCAGCTGCACCTTCCTTCAGTGTGTGCTCATGGGGGGCATTGGAGGTTGCGGGGCGGGGGTGGAGCCACTCTATGGGTGAAGATAGTGGGACCTCAGTGGGCCTTGTGGGGCCACCCGCCGCTGGCAGGGCGTGCGCCTTCCACCAGCTAAAAATACTGTACCCGCGCGCTGCCCACCTCCGGGTGGGTGTAGGTCTGGGCAGGCGCCAGCCCCATCCAGCCCTAAGCCGGCGCCCCCTGGGACAGAGCTGGGTCCCCAGAGACCTGGGTCCTGGGCCCATAAAGCCCTGAAGGGGGATTTACGATGGGCCTGCGCAGAGAATTTCAAAAAAGCTCTGGGCAGATTTTTGGATTTGTCCCTGGTGTCACCTTGACGTTTGGCAGACCAGCTGGCGGCCGGAGGCGGGGTGTTGTGTTCCCGGAGCGCGGGCGGGGTCTGCGGGCGCCGGATCGGAGCCGCGGTGGGGGACGGGCGGAGCGCGCGCACGCCTCCCCTCCTGGCCCCACAGGCGTCCGCCGGGCACAGCGGCGTTACTAAGGGGTGGCCCTTCCTGCTGCCCTCCTTCCCTTAGGACACATATCCTCCCCTGTGCCCCAGACTGGGGGCTCCCTCGGGCACACTGCCCACACTTTCCCTGAGGTATCTCTTGAGGGCATGGGTCCCTCTCTTCCGCCCTAAAACTAGGTGCCCCCCCAGAGGTGCAGTCCTGCCTTCTGTCTCCCACACCTCGGAGTTGAGGACCTCCTCAAACCTTAGACTCTGTGCCCATCTTAGAGCTGAAGGGCACCATCAGCAGCCGCACCCCGCCCCTTGGCAGGCGAGATGGTGCACGCCTGTAACCTCAGCATTCGGAAGGCTGAGGCAGGAGGATACCTATGAGTTCGAGGCCAGCCTGGGCTACACAGCGAGACTCTGTCTCCAAAATAAAGCCACCCCTAGGGAGAACCACTAAGCCTGTGGGTGCAGCCCCTCTCCTCGGTCCCTGTCCCACCCCACCCCTGCTGCAGTGGGAGACACTCAAGGCGGCTACCAAGGAAGACTTCCAGGGAACCCTCTGGGCAGGGCTTGGCGGCCGGGCTCCAGCCGTGGGTGGTCTGCCTGGAAGGTAGCTGCAGGCCTGCGGCTGGCTGGCCCCCACCGCCCCCACAGTGTTCTGACTCTGTGGTTTGGGGTGGTGGGTTCCTGCTCTGTGTGGGCTGGCTCAGCCCAGCCTTGGCAGAGAGGCCAGGGTCCCCAGACGCTGCAGAGGGCAAGTGGCTCAGAACCTCCGTTCCCTCTCCTGTCTGGCCCTGGGGCCCTCAAGCCTCAGGCGGGAAGTTGCTAAAAAGGGGGACGATAGGCACTGGAGCTGGGGTCTGCAGTCAGGAAGCTCCCTGCCTCAGTGTGCGTGTGTGTGGAGGTGTGTGCATGTGCACACCCACCCTGGGCCTCATATCCCGCCAGCTCCAGCACCCTGACCACAGGACACTGGCACAGGCCACCCGTGAACTGGAAACCTAAACAGAGCTACCCGTAAGCTCCTGGGGCCAGATTCCAGGGGCATCTGGCACGCACAGGTCTGGAGTCGCAGCTGCTATACACACACACACCACGCACATCCCTGGGGCACAGTGTCACCACCCACAGGGATCACACAGACCCCTGACTCAGTTGCCCATTCACAGAGGCACTCCCAAGGTCATGCCTTATCCCTGGAGGCCTGTGGGTGAGAATTCCAGCCTCACACACGGTCACACAGGTAGAGCCCATGACACCGCTGCCCTCATTCACAGCCTTGTCCCGGGGACAGTGACAGATAGACGCAGTCATTGGTGCGCCTTACACACAGGCCTCCCGAAGTCACACTAGAGACGCCCTTCCAGGGTGACAGAGCCACATGCTCAAACCAAACCCCCACCCACAGGCACACGGGGCCCATGCACAATCAAAGGCCCCGCACACGGGCATAGTTGCGCCCTGGGCACTGGGGCCCCGTGGTGACAGATCCAGGACGGCCGCACGGGGAGTCTTCCACACCCACACGCGCAGCCCCATGCTTGCTGTTCCCCCGAGCGCTGCTGTCCTGTCCTGCCACACGCAGCTGGGCCCACACGACAGGACCCTCTCCCTGTGCACGGGGCAGGGAAGGTCCAGCTGTCCCCTGCCCCTCTGGGGCCCCCGACGGCCTGGCCTTCTGCTCCCCGCTCCCCTGGATCCGTGTCGCCTCATTCTGGCAGCGCCCGTCCCAGGGACACCCTCCCAAAAGGCTTGACCTTCAGGGCCGCAGAGAGGTCAAGAGCAGAGCCTTCCCACCTCCTGACGTGGGGGGTCACACCCTTCCACAGGGGCTCTCCGGGCACTCCGGGTGACTGGCTCATTCCTGGCCTCTGCCCACTACGTGACACTACTCCCCTCCCCCAGATACCCCGTCGCCAGCCTCTCCTGGTGGGGACAGAAGCGTCCTGGGGAGAGACGCTACTTTAGATGAGGAGGGACACATCCACTGGCCTTGCATCACACCCATCTGGGAAATGGGAACAGCCCTGTCTGTGCGGCCCACAGGGCATGAACAACGGCAGGCGCATCACAAACCAGCCAGCTGGAGAAATGGTCACCGATGAGCAGGACCTCAGGAAGCCAGCACCCCAGGGACAGGGGCCTGGTGGGGTGAGGGCCCCGGCAGCCCGGGTGCCACAGCCACAGTCCCTAGCAATGGGGGCTTCTGCAAGGTAACAGCCGGGGGGGCGATGTGTCCCCTAGCAGGTCCGTGGGAGACAGTGTCCCCAGCAGGTGAGGCCCTGGAAGGCGAGGTCCCCAGAACCCTGTTGCTGGCAGCAGAGATGAACAGCAGGTGACATCCTAGCTACTGAGGTGTCTGAAAACCAAGGTGTCCAGCACGTAAGGCCTGAGCCAGCTGAGACCCCAGGCTGTGAGATCCGGAGCGGCGGGGACCCCTGCAGGTGTCACCTGTGAGGAGCACGTCTCCAGCAGAGGAGGCTCAGGCAGATCAATGCCGCAGCTGAGATTTCACAAGTGAGACCTCTGCAGGGAAGCCCTCCACAAGCGTCCCCACATACCTGTGTCTCTGGCAGGGGCCCCCCCATTGGAGACTCCCTGCAGGTAAGTCCCCTAGCACACAAGTCCCTCGCAAGTGACACAACGCCCAGGGAGTCCCCCAAAATGAGCCCGAACAAGTGAGTCCCCATAGAGGGGACAGGTGGAGATGAAAGGGGACAAGCGCATGCTCCAGGGTCCAGGTGTGCTGAG